CAGAATGGGAAGAGAATGGTTTTTTGACTGAAGCAAGGACGCAGGGGTGGCAGGGAAAACCCGAGGAGGAGCAGGTCTGGAGAAGCTCCTCCACAAGGACAGGCTGCATGAGGCTGAGCACATGCGTGGTGCTGCTGCCATGTGGGCTAGACCTCCCATGGCTGGCTCCCACGGCCAGGCATTCCTTAACCCCTGGTCAGTTCAGGCTTATCTAACAGACACTGCTCTATGCAACAAAAGCAGAGGTGTATTTTCTACAATGGGAAAGCATTTTCACTGTGGGTGGCGGACCGTGCACAGAGCAGACTCCCTCCCTTCTGCTGTCACCCCACCTACAAGGTCCTGTCTCTAGACCTCTCCCGGGAGCTTGCTGCCTTACCCGATTGAGATACATGTGGGCACAGGGTCCTGGGTTTCCCTAGGCCCAGAATGACTGGTGGACCCCTGGTTCTGTGCCCTCCTGCCTGCAGTTACATTAGCACCAGCTCCTCCACCAGGCACCTCCCCTGGACCTTGCTGAACCGTACCAGACCCACCTCCCTCAAAACACAAGGCGCTCTCAGCAGCCTTCACAGAGCTATGCACTTTCTCTCTTACACCGTAGCTTCCGAATCACAGCTGAAATAGATGCTCAAATTCCAACAGCTGCATTACACCCAGTCACTTCAAAGTCACACTAAAGTTACTCCCTCCTTGATCTGGGTTTTATTTTTGCTTTTTTCCCCAGGCAGTCAGGATGGACCTGAGCTTCTACTCTTCATCAGGGGACCGTCCTTCCCATGACCAACCAGAGCTGAGCCTGACCCTGAGAGAAACAAACGCTTACTTCTGGATTTTCCTCTTTCTCTTTAAAACCAAATTGTGATCGGCATGTTGAATGCCGACCTCCAGGACAAGGCACCTGTCCTGGTTTCCTGAAGGAGAAAACCTGGGGTGTGCATCCCAGCTGGGCTGTCTCTCTCAAGGAACTTCCCCATCTCCCACCGTTTCGTGGATTCTATCTCAAGAAGTATCAGTTGCTAAAAGATGCCTGTTGTTGCCATCTTCCCATGTGCAGGGGCTGCTGATTTCTAATGGTCACCGCAGGATGGAGAAAGACAAAAGGAGACCCTAAACACTCACTTTAAGGTACATTTCTCAAGCTACCACTATGGAAAGGGAGATAGCTGCCTTCCTCACACTTAACGCTGCCAACATTTCTAATGACCAGCTGAACCCAAAGGGAGCACGCAGCTGCCCCTCAGAATAGCTTTTCATGGGCAAGAAGGCAACCGAGGGCACAGTGTACATTTAGGAACCTCCAGGCTGGTGTCAGCGTGACTGCTGCTCAGCACGGCTCTTCCTCCAGGCAGCGGCAAGGGCAGCCCTCTGCAGCTTCTCACACACCACCTGCACCAGGACGTGCCCTCCTCCAGCTCCTGTCCACAGCGAGGCTGGGGAGTCTTCTGCAGCCTGCTCCTTTGTCAGGGCCGAGAATCAGAAAGCTGTCAATCTAATAAATCCACAGCTTCAGCTCAGTGGTTACAATGGAGTTAATCACGATATATGAGAGGCAGGATCCTCGAGAAGGCCCCAGGCAGGAAGCTTTTAAGATCTCAGATTCATTTCTGTATTAATATGTAATGAAGCCTGTTCCGTGTTTCTGTAAAACCACACAACTACTGGTCATTTTCACTGGCATCGCTTTCATTCTGATAGTCTCGAACTTTTATTAATTCAATGACTGCCCCATTGCTTGGTCTCAAAAAGAAAAAGCTGTCAGTCTTATCTCAAAAAACAAAAAAGCTGTCAATCCAATCTGCAGTACTTGGGTATCCTAGGGAAACCCTCTCCAAGACATGGTCCCTGTCCTTCTCAGCCAACAGCAGCTACATACACGAACACTACTTTCCTTCAATCGAAGGTACCCTGGTGTTTGACTCTGCAAGTTCTCTTATTATCTACTTCATGTAATTTATATCCTTATTTTAATGGGCGTATTGCAGCACATATAATCATAGAAGTGATCCCAAATTATATTAAGTAGTAACTATAAATCGTAACAAAGCAATACTAGTTTCCTAACCTGTAGCGTAAAAGCTACAGAATACCTACCTGATCGATCTGACCCAATGGTGTGAGAAACACAGAGCGTCTCGCACAGTACCCAGCACACAGCAGGTGCTCAACCAATGAGGGAGCTGATTGGAGGTAAGAAACACGAGTATGTTCCTAATTCATGGCCGAAGCAGCATTACTGACATGACCACGGTAAGAACGTTAAATTTCATTATAATTTAGGTCCTATTTGATTGCAAATTGGATTAGCGCCAGTTTATAGTATCAAATAAATTATGTTGGAACTATTTAAAATAAAACCATGAATATGAAGAGACACTAGAAAGAGGGAGAAAAGTATAATTCCAGGATGCAGATGAATTAATTGCTGAAAATGAGCCCTAAATCTAGCTTTGTGCTTTCTGACAGCCAACGCAGACACAAAATCACGTACATCTGTGCAACTCATCGTCTGATAAATGGAACGTGCAGCTCATACAGACGCGGAATTGTTCTCCTCACAATCAAATCTTAAGGTAGTTGCTCACACCAGTGGCCCTATGACGCACATTAGGTAAGTGACAGAAGAGCTGCACCTTTGCTGCTGTGTGCCAAGGCGCACGTGAGCTACCTTCCCTGGGGAAATGTTTCATTTTATCAGCGTTCCACAGTAAGGGACCAGTGGGTGTGCAACCTGGAGACTTTCCTCACATAAGCTCAGAAACATGGAGTTAAATGGATCCACTGTATTCCAAAACATGGAACAGCTTTCAGGTTTTGTGTCTGTGAAGCAGCCTGGTCTGTGGCTTCGCGGAGAGTGTAGGTTCGTCTTGGTCTTTTCCATCAGCCCCGGTAGCCTGGAACCAGAGCCCAGTAACCAGAGCAGCCTGTGGATAGGGAGGACGCGGGGATCTGCTTCCTGACACTTGCAACTAATCAAAGAGGACAGACTTCCCTGGGAAAACTGTAATCGCCCGAGGAGGGGGCAGGCCAAATGCTAGCAAGATTTACTGGCTTTGATGAACAATAAGGTGTTTGTTTTTGTAGGTAATTAGTGTTCAATAGCGAGCTATAAAGAGTCCTCCAAGAAATTCTAAACAGACTATAGCTGAAGGGTACTAAAGCCTGTCTGAATCTAAGGTTCAGACCTCTGGCGCAGGGTACTCCAGCAGGTCATCAGGGAGAAAATGGCCCTCTGTTTTTCATGCCTGATGAGACAAGCCCTCCATGACACGTGTGCGCCCACACATATGGGCAAATGGCACTGAGCATGTGCCACAGTGCTGGACGCTGCCATGGAATACTGCACTTCGTTTAACTATAGCTCAACTCACCTTATTTAAATTAGCTGTTCAAAGGCCCGTAGCGGCGCAGATGTTGGTAAGTGCTCGGACATGCCTGCATTCTTATAACCACTAGGTACTACGTGATTCTTACGTACTATGGAACGCTGGTTGGGTCCCTTGATGGTGGGAAGATGTTTGCCAAACCCATTCCCGATTTATGCTTTTTTCCCCAGCAAATCATTCTTGGATACAGGATTTTAAGAACCCAGAGGTATTAATACAAATGCAACTGAACTTCATTTAAAAGAAGGTATGTGCAAAGGACTGTCACCAATATTTTTAAAAATAGTATCAAGATGAGGTAACTCTGTGCTCAGAGGCAACTGCTCATCCTGCTTCACCAGCTCCTGGTCAGTAACACAGGACTTCCTGCCACGCCAGGAAATGCGCATAACATCACGTCCACTCCCTGGCCTACTCACATCATGACACACAGCAGGTGCGGAAAAGCCAACTATCAAACCCTCTACAGAACGGAGAAACTTGAGACGGGACTAGACAAACCACCACCACAACAAAAACAAAAAGTCAAGCCACAGATACAGCAAAGGCCTGAGCAAAACAATTGCTTTCACACTCCTCCCTATACACTGACTTTACTCTGGTAAGAACTAGAGTTAGCAGCCGAGAACCCAGGCATCTGACCGTGCAGGTCATTAGGAAACCTTTACAGTAATTTTTTCCTCCAAGAACTAGATCTCCATTTAATGATGTTCTATTCAGTCCGATATAAACCTTGCCACTGCTTTGCATGCTCTGGCCTCCTAAACGTGATTTTCTTAAGTTTGTAAGCAGTCATATCACAGCCTTTCCTTCAGAGAAACATAAAACAGACACTCGCTCTAGGAAGACGAATAACCCTCAGGCCACAGTTTTAACATCACCGTCATCTGGCTTTCTGCCACTTGCGGCTTCCTGCAGGTTATCACAACCTGGGACCAGCCACTCAACAACCCCTCTGACTCTCTGTTTCCTCATCTGAACCACCAGGAGGTTGCCTCAGACTCTCCCTAAGGCATCTATGGGCTCTAAGGTTCCAGGGTTATTTCATCCTAAAGGGAAGAGTCACTTATTTAAATTGACTATTCAACGGTCCATAACAACCCGGATATTGGTGGGTAATCTGACACCCGTGCATTCTCATAATCGTAATGTGTGCAAAGGTTGTTATCCACAGCTGTTAATTCTTCAAAACTCACACATTCAATTCTACATTCAGAAAGTTGGACTTTAGAATTGGCTGAAAAAGAAATGCAAAGTCAACGGTATAAAGACACATCTCACTGTGTGAATAATAGAGTGAATCAAAGATCACGCTCGTGCAGGGAAGGAAGTCCACCTAAGTAAGGACATCCTGAGAAGAGCCTCTTCCTGCTGCCCTGTTGGCTTTAAGAATGAACGTGCACATCAAATTAACATTTCAACTCCCCAAGCCAACTGGTGCAGTAAGCTCATGGGGTCCCTGAGGGCTGGGACCCTGGTGTACTGGCCTGGGGTTACTGCAGAAGCGACAAAGGCAAGGAGCAGCACTGTGTCAGAACATAGATAAGTTGAGGGAAACATCTGTATTCGAAAAAGTACTGAAACAAACAGGACGACACAGAGTCGGATACTTACTTGTGGCCCAGCTCATGGGCGATGGTAAAGGCCAAATTGAGACCATTGTCTTCGGCAAGCACACACTTCCTCTTAGCACTGCACACACCTCCTAAGTAAGCAATTCCTGCAGCAGAGACACAAAACACATCCTCTTCAGAACGGGGGGCGCGGGGGGCCTGGTCTCGCCGGGCAAGTCCGCGCAGTCAACGTCACACATCATCAAGGCGGGCACACTGGGACAATGCTGACTGGATCTACGAGTCTCAGCCCACACGGGAAGGGTTTGTGTGTGAGGCTTTTGTGTTCACCCAGTAAAAACCGTAACCACCGCAAGCATCCATGGAGCATCTACGCGTCAGGGGGTGTGCTGAGTAGTGCACCCATGGCCCCTAACTTAACCCTCACGACCCAGGATGAGGGAAACTGAGGTCTGGAGAGGAAAGGTAACTCTCCCAAGGTCACCAGGATAAGCACCCAGTGCTCTGGGATCCTCCGCCAGATCTGTCCAACTTCAGTGTCTAGGGCTGGGACCGGGTGAGGCCAGCCAGGCAAGGCACCCAGGGTGCAAAGTTTAAGAGGCCCTGGCTCTCAGGCGATGCCCCTGCACCCGCACGCCCTAAGAGGGAGTGCCTCCTCACACTGCACATCCCGGGTGTGAACTGGGACGGGATCTGTGCTGAGGCTCAGGGACAGCAGGCCCTGGAAGCCTGCGCGGCATGTTCCAAAAATGCTTCAGGAGCCCTTGAGAGTGGAAGACTCAGAGGGAGTGCAGCCAGTGCTGGGAAAGCCAGGGCCTCAAAGTCCTCAGTGAGGACTCGCCTGCGAGCCAAATGCCTCGTCTCCATGCACACGTGCCTGACCCTAAGGACCTCATCCTAAGAAGGGAAACCTGAACCACACACCCCAGAAGGAACACAATGCATGGCAGTGGAGTTATGTCCCCAGGATAGGATGGGTGATGCTGGTGGGATGACAGGCCAGCCACCGGAGGAGGGGCAGGCATTTTCCAGGGGAGGAAGGTAGCTCTGGCCGAGGGATGCGTGGGATGACATGGGGTCCATGGACGCCAGCCCCTCTGAGGAATGCAGCCACAGCAGGGGTGGGGAAGGTGAGCTCATGCTGGCCATACTTCTGGGGGCTGACTCTCCAGGGCTCCCCAGTGCAGCTCTCCACGCTGCTGCTCTCCCTGCACCCAGGAAAGACATGTCTCACCCTGCAGGGACCATAAGGCTTATGGGCCCGCTAGGACACCTGACATCTATTCTCCCATGGGTGTCTAACCTAAGGACAGTTCCGTGATATGCCACTGTGTGATGCACAGGTGGCTGGTGGCATGGGGTGGCTGTAGGAGGAGCTCAGGGCTCCCCTGGCTGTGCAGTCACATTGGGTGTGGGTGGGCAGCAGCTCTGCTGGCACAGCACCGTGGAGTGGATGGAAGCTGAACCCAGCTGAATTCTGCCCACCAGCCCCATGCCCTGCAGGGGCTATGGCCGCCCAAGGAAAAGGCACCTGCTCTCCCCCACAGGCACGGTCCCGCTGTTGAGCTGCAGGCTGCTGTGTTCCAAGGGCTCCCTCCAAGACCTGGCCTGAGGCGTCTCAGGAGGGAAGGAGCTGGCAGAGGGCAGGGGAGAACAGGACAGGGGAACCATTCCATTAAAAATGACCCCTCCTCCCTGCTCCCAAAGAGCTATACCAACATGCCCTTTGCCAACGTCCAAATCAAACTGGTGTAGAGCTCAGCCACACAGGGGGTGGTCCCTCTGACGTGGTGCGGCTCTGTGTCCCCACTCAAATCTCCTCTTGAATTGTAATCCCCATGTGGCAGAGAGGGACCTGGTGGGACGGGACTGGATCATGGGAACGGTTTCCCCCATGCTGCTCTTGGGAAGTGAGTTCTCATGAGAGCTGATGGTTTTAGGAGTGTTTGGCTGTTCTGTCCCCCTCTCTCCTGCCGCCTTGTGAAGAAGGTGCCTGCCTTCCTTTCCCCTTCAGTCATGATTGTAAGTTTTCTGGGGCCTCCCAAGACACGCAGAACTGAGAGCCATTTAAACCTCTTTCCTTTATAAATTATCCAGTTTCAGGTAGTATTTCTATAGCAGTGTGAAAATGAACTAATACATCCTCTCCACGAGGCGCAGAGGAAGCGCACACAGCCTGGCTCCGCAGAGAGGTGCGGTTCCAGGGCTCACATTCCACACACTGGGCCCAGGCACCCCACTGTGGGTCTATCTGAAAACATGCAATGTGCTTAGTTAAAAATAAATAAAGGACACAAATTAAATGCTATTTGGCCTTAAGATGCTTTTGTGGCCACGTGAATGTCACAACCCAGCAATGCAGACTATTGAGAAGAACAATATGACAACCGGGAAGGATGCGATGTGGCTTCTCGGTGCCTTCAAGGTCATTATTCTGGTTTTGTTTAAAAATGTTCTGTGGTTGCTTTTACAAGTCTACCAGTGAGTAGGTGGAATGCTGCTACATAGCCCCAATGGTATGTGCACAAGGCCCACGTGGGTGCATGCACACTCAGACACACACCCAGCAGTGCCCGTCCAGCCCTGGCTGCGGCCTCTCTGGGTCAATGAATTAATTAGGAACAATGAGATGTTTACACCCTGGAGAAGTTGCCTGGTAAGGGAGACATAATAAGGCCAGATGTGCTGAGCTTGCTGTCCTGAGTGTACCCGCCACGGGCTCTACTACTGAACCAGCAGACCTTAACTGCCATACACACACTTGCCCCTGGCCTCAGCCACACTCAGCACTCGGAGGAGGCAGCCCTGACTTTCCATTCTAATTAGGTAACGTGCAAAGCTAGCGAAACAGGGAAGCAAGGAGCCTTCCAATAACTGCATTTTAATCTTTCCAAGCGCAGAGAATTTTTAACTGGAAAACAAAGAATCTGTTTATTTACAAGAAATGCTCTTGCACAAAGGTGGCTGAAGGTCTAATGCTTTTCGTAATTTATTCCAATCGTGACCAGCCTGCTCATAAAACTGAGGAAGGAAAAACACATAAAAGAAAGCTGATAACCAAGCACAAGAGCTGTGTGTTTATGAGAGATGAGGTGGAAAGGCTTAGAACGCAGAAAACCAAGTCTGGAGAAAATCCCAGGTTGTTGTAAAAGTAAGAGCTTCGGGGGGAATAAACGGTAATTAAGCAATCCAGCTTCAGCAGAAGACAAAGCCCACCACTATTCCATGTTTCTGAAAAGAAACTGCAGTCTAGCAAGGCAGAGCCCTGGAGACCCAGAGATACCCCACCCTGTAAGGATGCAGAAGGCACCAAGCTGGAAAAACCCACTAAATCCCCATGCTGGTGCTTGTCAAGAAATGAGGAAAAACCAGTTTTCTCTGCACTGATTTATTAAAAATGGAGGTCTGTGACACAGGTCTGCTAACTTCAGGGCTGATGCTGTGGAACCTTCCGAGGGAACTGGAATTTCCTTACGCTGAGGTGAGGCTTTCAGACCCTGCCGTGGTGCTTTCACTGGCTCCAGCCTTCTATGATTTAAAATTCTCCACAGATCACAGAACTTATTTAAAAAATTTTAAAAACATCAATTCCACATGTTTGCATAGTTTCTTGGAACAAAAGGGAGGCAGAAAGGCAACTGGAATTTATTAGCTGTGCCTCTCCATGGGCGAGACGGCTGCAAACACTCAACCCTCCCTTGCTTGGCAGGTATGACTGGTCCCACTTTATAAAGGGGGAAACAGAGGCTCAAGAAGCAGGTTCATGGTTAATCAGCACCCAGACCAGGACACAAACGCAGGGCTCCCTGCCTGCAACCCTCATGCTCCTCTGAGCAAACCCTGGGCCTCCCTCACCAAAGTTTTGATAAGTAACGACAATGAATAATATCTGAGGATTTGGAAGATTTTCATCAATCCTAATCTGTGCATACATAGAGACGTATGTGGAGTCGAGTGAAGGTTTTATCCATTTGGGTCCAAATGTTTCTAAGTTTAAACACTTCAAGTGAGAGAATTAGAAATCGTTTAAATTTTTCTCTTTTTTTTTTTTGGCTTAAATCAAATACAATTAATACACATATTGCTATGAAAATTAAAGTTATTGATTATCGTTCATTTGTTCAAGGTGATCTGTAGCAGAAGTGGGAGACTCCTCTAAAATGAAATCACAAACAAAACCCCTCTGTGTTTTAACGCTGAGTGTGCAGCCCCTTCAGGCAGCAGATGCTGTAGGATGTTCACGGTGGACAAGCACAGGGCTGAGTGTGTGCCTGTGCCCTGAATGCTGGCTCACTCCAACTCTGCCGCATCCCTGGCACTGACTAGGGAAACAAAACACACTCTTAAAAAAAATCTGAAACACAGAAGGTAACAATGAAGGGGTGTGGGCCAGGCACAGTGGCTCATGCCTGTAATCCTAGCCCTTTGGGAGACTGAGCTGGGAGGATCACCCGAGGTCAGAAGTTCAAGACCAGCCTGGCCAATATGGTAAAACCCCATTTCTACTAAAAAATACAAAATTAGCTGGGCATGGTGTCAGGTGCCTATGGTCCCAGCTATTCGGGAGGCTGAGGCAGGAGAATAACTTGAACCCAGGAGGTAGAGGGTGCAGTGAGCCGAGATCCATCACTGCACTCCAGCCCAGGTGACAGAGCAAACACTCTGTCTCCAAAAAGAAAAAAAAATGAAGGGGTATAATGAGTTCTTCTGACACTTGGAGAAGCCCATTTAATTTATCCAGAGAAGAGGCTCCCATCCACCAAGCTCTGTGACCCATGCTCCCAGCATGCCAACACAACACAGGTGCTCATTTGTCTCCTTTCTCTTCCTTTTCTCAGTAGAAGCATAATTTTTAGACAAAATTGGGTGAAGAGGCTTAACTAGAGTCTTATTCAGTAGAAAACTACATGACATAAGCTCTTAACTCTTTATCTCGGGGATGACCACTTGACTGTCTCTAGATTTAAGGAATAAACCACAGACATTCTGGTTGATGCAGAAAGTTGTTGCATGTAAGCCGTCTGCAGCTGGTGGTCTTGCTGTCCATTAGTCCAACCTTACAGGGGCTGCCTTTGAGAGAGATGGCTCAGTTTTTCCCACCAACTGCTCAACTACCCAGCACTGTCACATTATTGCTGGGATGCTA